AAGTTTGGCATGATGTTGATTACCATAGAAGTGATAGGCTTAACATTTAATATGTTAGAATAAGAAAGTATGCCAGTAGGAAAGGAGATAAGAATAATAATTTATTCCATCAAAGCATGGTTCTAAAGTAATTGAATAAGCCAAAGTGGACTTTTGACAAGAAGAAGAGAACTATATATAAATAGTGTTTATGATATGCCTGTAATCTCTATAGTGTGAACACTTTGTTGTACATACGTGTAATTTGTTTCCAATATATATATATTATTTGAAAACAAGTAAAGTGTGTGCTGTTTTTCATCATGGAATTTATTGCTATAAAGACACAGACACCTACTGTAGAAGAATCCTAAGCCCAACAACAACACGGTATATATTTATACTATTAAGAAGTATAAGTAAAAGCCTTTTATTTTGACAATAGGCAAAAAATTATATTTTATATTCTGACACTTGGCATTAAACATAGTAAGCAAAATTTGCATACAAGTTAATTTCTTAATTTTATAAGGAAATATTAAAATAAATCTTCAATCTCCTTTTGTTTGAGAAATGTGACTCATTCTCTTTGTCTTCCCTTCTTTAATTTATTTGCAACCCCTTCTCTGAAGTATGGAATTGTATGTAAATTACTTATTATAGCATAGATATTGTTTGTTTGTTTTGAATTTTGTGCAAACTACACAAGGGCTATCTACGCTAGCCATACCTAATTCAGCAGTGTAAGACTAGAGGGAAAGCAGCTAGTCATCACCACCCACCGGCAACTCTTTTTCCAACGAATAGTGGGATTGACCGTCACATTCTAATGCCCCCATGGCTGAAAGGGCAAGCATGTTTGGTGGGACTGGGATTTGAACCCGTGACCCGCAGATTGCGAGTTGAGCTCCCTAACCATCTGGCCATGCCAGGCCTAGCATAGATATTACTAAGGCAAAGTATAATCTATATAGCTTTCTATCTTTTGTATTTACAGAGTCACAAACTTGAAAATCAGACCCACTTGCCATGCCCACCTGTCACATCCTCTCTTTCACAAACTGCTAATAATTTTCTTTGACATTTTATATAATTTCTAACCAGAAAAAAAGGCAAAGTTTTATTCTACAGAATGATGTATAACGCTACATTATTTTCAAAACAGAGTACTGTGTACTTCATGTTCATTTTTCAAAGTTAATCTCATGGTGTTCAGCTCAAGTAACTACGGAAATTAATTTGAGCTCCTCTTGCCTTAGTTAGAAAGCCAGTTAAATTATAATAGTTGCAGGACATTGTTGGCTTTGCGCAACCAACAGCAAAAACATAAGTGGTCAAATGTAAGTACTAGATTTCTTGTTTTTCATGTATATTTTTAGTTTAGATAATGTTATATTAGGTTATATTATAATATGAAAATCATAATAAACATCCTCCACAAAGTACACTCATACATTATATTTTTCAATACCGTAATGTGAGCTATGGATTCGCCAGGTGATCTACAACTTGTATGGCAGAATTATTAGTTAGATACAGTTCAAAGGCCAAAAAAACAATAAAGTTAAGTAGAAACAGATGTAGACTGTTATTAGCCTTCACCTTCTTAGGACAAACAACTGTAGTTTTCAGTTACAATCTGCAGTACTTCTAGATATAAATAAAGGGTAACTTAGATTTATGTCATTTTTTTTATGGTGGTTATAAGTTTGGTCAAATTTAGAGTTAGGGAAGAGAAGAAAAAGATAAAATATAAAGTTTTACTGAAAATAGGATCATTTATTTATTTAGGAGGTTTTAGAGGTTATGCAAATGAAATTTGAAAATTTTTAGACAAAGAAAAGTATTTTTAATCCTAACATGAAAATTACTTTGCACTCGGAGCAGTCACTACTCTGATTACATATATTCATGGACAAATATTTTGTAAAAATACTTAATTAAAAAAATCTGATCTTTTTGTGTAAAAGACTTGTAATGTTTACTGAAAGTTTGCCAAATTTCATAAAGATGCGTACTATATTAAAAGTTATAGTATGGAAACTGTAATCATCACTTTGCAGCTACATGGTTGGTTGCATCAACTGACTTTGTATGGAAAGAATTAAGTTTAAACTTAAAGAAAGAAACACATTCATTAAAGATAATGTTGAGGATAAAAATGATAATTTAGAGTGCAAGTGCTTATAGGGATCTACTCTGCATGGAAGATGTGTTGCTCTCCTATTAGTGGAGGGCTATTGTCACATGATGATTACTTCATATTCTAGCTCAGTTCGCATTATAACGTGGCTTAGGTGGGACATAGCTCAAGGCTAGTGGCATGTTCAAAATATAAAAGGTAGATGTGCAAGAAATAATTACTAGATGCAGAGAATTAAGTCTATCAAGTTGGAAATACCGTACTTGACATACTGTTTCAGGCATGAAACTGTGTCTGGCTACAGTAGATAATAAGTAATTGTTATAATTTACTGATATTTATATTTTATTTAAAAACATTTGTTTACTAAATTGTAAATCAACTTTATAATTAGGCTAGTTCATTGGGAAAAATATGTTTTCAGTTGGACTTGGTGTTTAAAAAATTTCATGAAATGAGCACTCACAGCCAAACGCTTCCGTTAATCTATAATATTACGTCACATGCTAACATTTCTGGGATGCAATAAATATTTCCATGCAGTGATTCAAACCTAAGGATAAATGATTGTGGTATAGAATGGTTAATGAGAAGTCCTTTGTTCTGCTAATTAAATGTATAAACATACAGAAAAAATTTCAAGAAGATGGAAGTAATTGAGTAATAAATATTTCACACATTTTAGGGGAATTTTTGATTAAAATTTTTTTACACATTCTGTTGGGATATTCTGCTGTTTTTTAAGATGAAATTGACTGGATTTAGAAAAATCTTTACAGCCAATTTGAGTTAGTGGAACTGGGCTAGTTAACTCTTAAATGTATAATGTGGGTCAGAAATGATCCATCCCTCCCATTACTGGTTTAAAAGCAGATGATATTTGTTTGGTTTACCATATTTTTTTCAATTCCATAACTGGAACCATTAATTGAATTTAACATTGTTATGTAATTGAAACACATAAAAACTTAACATTATAGAGGGCATTTGAAAAAAAAATGCATGAGAATCATATTATTTACACAATGTATCATACATTTGTCACATGTTCAACATAATTATTGTAAATATAAGTAAGACATTTATCATAGATGCTGTGCAAAGGTGTTGGATAAAGAAACAGCATCCAGAGCACACAGAAAGTATGCCAGATACATCAACTTCTTCAAAACATAAAATATGTTCACAGTGCTTTTCCTCAAAAGACTGAAAAACTGGCACAATTTGTGCAAAATGCTACTCACCCATCTACCCTGATCAATGAAAATAGTTGTATGTGATAACTACAATAAATAGTCAGCCAATAATTTTGTAATAAAATTTGTTATTGACTTCATCTGGTGTCTTGTTGGGTTTTTTTAAATCAAAGATATGTTATTTTTCCCTTTATTTTTTCTTCTATTTTTCAAATAGAAATGTCTAAATATGTCTCTGATTTACTCTTTGTTAGATATGATATGAGATATGATTTGTTTCATTTCATAATGAAATTTAGTGTTTAATATTATTCTAATCCTTTTTTTTTTCTAATTAGGAAAATTGTGACCCACATTATATATTAACATATATAAAATACCTCATGTTTGTAAGGGTTGAGATAAACAATGCTGCATGGAAAGTTTAGTGTGACCCACTTTATGTATTAACATATATAAAATACCTCATGTTTGTAAGGGTTGAGATAAACAATGCTGCATGGAAAGTTTAGTGTGACCCACATTATGTATTAACATATATAAAATACCTCATGTTTTTAAGGGTTGAGGTAAACAATGCTGCATGGAAAGTTTAGTGTGACCCACATTATGTATTAACATATATAAAATACCTCATGTTTGTAAGGGTTGAGATAAACAATGCTGCATGGAAAGTTTAGTGTGACCCACATTATGTATTAACATATATAAAATACCTCATGTTTGTAAGGGTTGAGATAAACAATGCTGCATGGAAAGTTTAAGTTTGTTTTTTGTCCTAGCATGAAGAAATTAATGTTTAATTCAAAACTTTCATATAACACAAAATGTGAGCTATATTTTTATTCTAAATAAATTCTACAATAAAGATGTTAATTTTTTTTAGCTTGCACCAGAACAGGTTAGTTAGTTATATTTTTTCATTTCTTTTAGTACTTTTGATCAAGTTTAACCAAGAGTTTACAGTTGGTATACACCAATGTGACACATTAAAAACTAAGAATTAATATTAATGTTTAGTGAGGAACCCATTGAACTGAATAATTAATTTAAAAAAAATATAATAATAGGAACTTTTACAGTTGGCATGTTCTGATTTTGATAATTACAATGTTTTGATCCACAGTATTCAATTATCACAAGGTAACAGTTACATACAAAAAATCTTTACCTGATGATGACTCCATACTATGGGTCAAAACACTGTAATTATCAAAATCAGGACTTGCCTGCTATAAAAGTTGCTGTTATAGTATTTTTTAAATTAATTAAACATTAACATGTTAAAGTTTGTCAAAATTAGCAAAATATTAAAATCTTCAATTTCTATGAAAGATTAAAATTGCATCATTTCAAATCATTTTAAGCACAGTTTAAGTACGTTTAGTCTTCTATACAGTTTCTTTTTCAGTTTTGTTCTTTTTCTATTTTATAAAATGTGCTAGATTAACTACAATGCTTGAGATAAAAAAAATAAATAATGTTTCAATCACAACTGAAGTCATCATTATGATAAACTAAAAATAAGAAGTAAAGACAGTAACTTATAACTTTTGCAAGTTAAAAATATAAAAAAGAATAAACTATTATATATTTTTTAAACATACTTATAAACTACAATAATTGAAATACATATAAATTATTATTTTAATCAGTATGCAATGATAGAAAAAACATCCTACCTGCCAGCTAGTTACATTCTGCAGGAAGAAAAACAGAGCAGCAGCCCAGGTGGCAGCTGAAAGCAGAATATATAACAGAGAGACAGGCAAAATTCGTTCTTTGTGACGTAGCTAAAAAAGAAAATTTCAATATTAATTTTTCAAAAAGAATTCTAGAAATCTATAAATAAAAAACTAATAAAATAAGCATATTATATCTAAACCAAGTAAAAATCTTCAGAAGGTTTGCCCATTTAACTTCTGTGAAAGTCTATTAATTAATAGACTTTTCTTGTTTACAAACTTGGTGGTGAAACAAATATAATGAAAATAACATTTAGGATATTTATATTCGTATACCACATTGGAAGTTTGAAAGTAGGTATATAATCTTTTTATATCTAAAAAAGTACTGTAACCTTTATATAAGATAAAAACATACATCTGAATTCCACTTGAAGTTATGCTCAGTGACATTATTGATTCCTAATCAGAATAGTCTGTTTATGGCAAGACTAAAGAAATTTTATACTTGGTTACATTCCAGTTAAGTAGTGTAGAAATACTCTTACTGTTTAAATAATTTTGAATTACTTGACTTATATTGCTTACTGGAAAGCTATTTTTTAGTAAAAATTTCTTAATGCTATCAATTTGTTAAAACTTCATATTTACTGATTTATATGCCAAATAAGCCAGTATTTTGACCAGATTTTTCCTGGCTCACTTAGAGCATTAAGCTATAAAGAAAGTTTACATTTCGCTACTGATGAACTTGGTACACTTTCTATATATGTATTGTTTTAGTGATGAAAAAATATTTTTTAAATTATAAATACAATGTTTTTTTGCAGTTTATGATTTTACTATACAGTAATTTCTCACACTTTTCTGAATAGAGGAATATTTTTCAAAGATTAAGTAGCTTTTGTTATAGGATTGCCATCTAGTGACAATCATCATACCAGACAAATATTACAACCACTGCAAAATGTAATATATTTGGCATTGCATAAATATGCTAAAATTATACTGACTACATATATGAAAAAAGATTAAACAGTACATGTGTCTGAAATTAAGTATGATTGGCTTACTAACTGTTTACATAATCATTTTGTGCACAGTATATAGAACTAGATCCTCAGGACTGAATATCATTTATTACAGAAGCAAAAAGAAAGTTCATTCTACATAGGAACTATTATATACTTCACACTACAGCAAGTTTTCTATCTGCATATAAACTGATAATGAGAAATTAAATTTGTAAAATAATTTTATAAAACAACTGTTCTTTTACTTCCCTACACATTTGAAAATTTTAAGTTTTGAAACTAGTATTAAAATGTCTTACCTTCATTATGATGTAAAAGGCAACATAAAGTAAGAGATTTGTTATAAACAATGCCACGAGGTAGGATGCAACATCTCGAGGCTGAGTGTAAAGACCATACCCTGCTCTGCAATTTAATGAAGTTTATTTAAAAAAACAACACAAGATATTCAAAAACTATAAAAAAGTACCATTCAAGTTTAAAGATAAGCATTTCTTGCTACGGGAAAACTTTTAGCTTATAGATTTTGTTTTATATAGAGCTACATGTAGTCTGATGAATGAAATACAGAAGTGCAATTAAAAATAAACTATTTAAATATTTAACAACAAGACAGCATATTTTGGAACTTTACGATCAGATCTTTATAATCTTAAAACCAGTGGGTCAAAATGATAGAATGGAAGTTGTAGGGTATCATTTATTAATGATTTTTTCCCTTTAATATTTCTAATATGTTGAACTCATTTTGTGGAGTGTGTATACAAGTAAATACACTTTATAAAATGTTAAGATACAAACTGGAGCAGTAAAAAAACAGAACAACACATTAAACAATTTGGGAGAACAAACAAATATGAATATATATAAATCAAATCAAAATTAACACTACTCACTAATCTGATGATGGTTTGAAATCCATTTAAAGTGACAGACAAATGCCACAACATAAAAATGTTTAAGAACATATTTTCAAACTGTACCTTTGAAATAACATGTTAACTAAATATTCAAATAACTCCTTCTTTTCAAGTTTACCAAAACATTTCACCCCAAAAATAGAGTAGAATGACAAAAAGTAAACCAAAGATTTTATAAAGTGCTTCTAATATGTTAATTTTCAAGACATTGGGTCTGTAGTCTTAAAAAGTATCAAACCCTGAGAAAATTTTGTAATTCAGTAGAAAGTCATGGTAACTCCCTTATTCATGCATACTTCACATGTTTTAGCTTGGTGCCACCATTTGAAGTACTAAGGAAAAATAGGGGGTATAAGCATGATATTTCAAGGATAAACTAAGCACATTGTAACTTAATCTTCACAACAACAGGCTTATGGATCTAGTATGTGAAAGGACTAACATAAAAACTTGTTGCAGGCAGATAGAAGAAATGAAACAAAGGGTGAAGTTAAAAAAGAAAACACTTTAACCCTGTTGCTATGGGATTTCCTATGATCAGGGGCCAAAGAGCATGTCATCATATTTGTAGACTTACATTCAAAATTTTATAGAATTACTATTTTATGAATGTATGTCAATAAATTTGGTTTCATATTGTAGATTACAATTCAAATTTTAGCATTATACATTAGTTAATTTCTTAATTTAAAAGTAAATATAAAAAAAAATCCTAAATTTTGATTTTTGTGTGTCATGCTGTATGTTGAATGCACATCTTTCTTGAGATAAGCTTACACTGGTGCATCAACAAGGCACGTTTTCACAAATAGAATGACTTTGAACAGTCCAAATAAAATTTGACCTTCATTAACACTGAAAGAAGTGTTGCCACGAAAGAAAATCTTTCCACAAAGTACGTATGAAATGATTACAACCAAGAATACTTGAAATATGCTTCATGTTCTTAGCTTTTAGCACTCTTACCAAATATTTTTATCTTTCGAGCTGTGGACATATCATATATCCTACAAAAGTTCATATAAGAGGACTTTTCCCTGACGTTACTCTGACACTAACTTAATGTAAAGGTTGAAATACCATGCACAGGTTTTCAAGTGTATGCTGAAACATGCAATCAATAATCAAAAGACTGTATATGAAACACCATTCCAAATTAATGTGAATTACATCAGCTGCTCAAACATACCCAACACATTACATAAGCTAAAAGGCATAAAACTCATACTAGCCTTCTCACATGCTGAAAGTGGCCTTGGATCTTTTTTCATCTACAATGATCTTTCAGTAGCCAGGAGAAAAACCCATGAACAAAATAATAATAAATAAATGAATTAAAGAATGGATCCTACAGATGCAATGAGGCATTTGTAAATATGCATCAGCATAATTGTGAGGATGAGTGCTACTTCAATAGCCATTGAAGTTCACAGAGAATTATGACATACCTCCTTTCTTCTTTAAATATGCTCTCTTAAGGTTAAATAATTCTACCCTACAGTATTTAACTTAATTATTTGTAATTGTAATCATGACATGTTTTGAATAGAAACATTATTAGCCCTTATCACGAGTAATCCATATTTTCATAATTCACTTATCAATTTATTTACAGATCTGTGTGGGATTACTGCACATTTGGAACCATAAAGGTGAGGTTTTGTATTATTTTCTTGAATTCCTTTAAAACATTTTTAGAAACATTGATTTCTTGCAAGATAACAATAGTAAAACTAAGTTTCCACAGTGATGCCACTTTGAATTATGCACTATTTGTAAGTGATCAAACAAAACACTGACTAAAGTCTTCTATCATAATATGAAGAAATGATGAAATAACTTACAACAACCAGTTAACAAAGTTGCCTACAAGCAGTAACACCAGCCGATCCTGTATCACGTGGGGAAAAAAAATACATAATGAAATGAGATATGAGAAGAGCTTTAATATACAAAAAATATTTGAGATATTAAGTTTTTATACAAATTGAAATTACTTTGAATTATACACATATTCTAAAGATCGCATAAGGGCATTAGTTAATCTACCAGTCTTTGTCATTATTTATTAAATCATAATGGAAGATGTCTGTGGTCATGGCACTCAATTTTGGAGATATTACATCTATGAGACATGATCCAAATGTCAAATATTGAGAAAAAGTAAAAGTCTTATATTGTGAGAAATTTTTAAACAAAGTATATGATGATTTATTTTTACTCTTTATAATTCATAAGTGTTCAAGAGGATATAGTTCCTATTTAATTGTTACAATCTCTAGAAATGTATAAATATAGGGTGGTTTATTTCTACTATAAGGTTATTTGAATAATTGCTTTTTATGTCAAAATTTTAAGAGTGATTGCTTTCCCACAACTAGCTGCAGATGGTAAAGGTAGTAAGAGATGTTGTGAGTTAAAGCACTCAACTCCTAACCTCTAATTTGATCTTCCTTAGTCACTACTTACTTTGACATATATGTTCAGATCATGTCTGACACTTTTGGATACTATGACCACAGACATTTTCCATTATGATTTAAACAATAATGACAAGGACTGGCAATGGACAAATTTTAATTTTTTTAAGGTTAGAATCTCATAATTGAAATCTCTGCTTTTGGTTTATAAATACCCATACTCAGTACTGGAAATAACTATGGAAATTGACAGGTAAGAAATATACAGAAGTCAAATGCATAACTGCAACTAAAATTAATAGTCTATTTATGATTAGTATAATAAATTATTACAGAAATTTAAAAAGAAAAGCAAATAAGTTGCACAATGAACTAGTATTTGCTTTAAACAGAGTAGTAACACTTGTTGTTAAGATTATGAAATATTGTTCCAAATCTCTTCCAATTCAGCCAAGTTGTTTGCTTGCTGTTTGGCCTTCTTAGTTTCTATATAAACTTTGTGCAGGCCAAGCCATGGTTACAAGTGTTCCATCACCCTTCTTCCAAATATTATTTTGCCACATTTGGTGCACCTTGGGAACACTGTCTTGTTGAAAAATGAATCCCTTTTATGAAGGATAAGTCTGATTTTACCTGTCAGTAGTCAGTGTGTCATCAATTTTGTGTAAATGTCAAACATCACTGTCTGAGATGCAGCCCAAACTTACACTGGTTGTCCAGCATGCTGCTCTGTAGAGATAATACATCAACCATAACAAAATTTTCTTCTCTACCACTGTACGAACTATTATTTACTGTTATCGAACAATCTGAATTTTTTATTCACTAACACACGACTGTACTCATGTATACTTTTTTTTGACATAATAGAAAGGGAGAAATCATATAATGTTTGCATTTTATACCTATTTACTTTACAGTTTCCATAATTACTTCCAACATTTGATAAATATATATTATTTTAAGCTACGTTTTTAATATTCTTATTTTAATTTGAGTCTGTGTTGCAATGAAGAGATAAGAGAAATGAGAAAATTAGCAAGTAAATGAACTTTCAGCTGAGACATTATTTGTGAATGAGGCTTATCAATAGTTATGTAAAGGAATATACAACTTATTGAACTTAAAGTTCAAGAAATAAAATGCTTTCATTATCGTTAAATTGACTGGATTTTGCATGATTTTCACTGATTAATCCAAAAGAATCCTCCAAACCATAGAACCCCTTACAACAATACATATACTAGTTGCAGATTAAAGCAAGCTTCCATGGAGAGAATGAATTAAGTATCATAAAGAATATTATACACAGATGCACAAAACAACTCTAAATTTTCTATTTTTGGTGCAGTTTTGCAATTGGTACTTGAATATAAAGTACACAACTTTTTAGCAGTGTTAACGATAGAAACATTGAAATTGATGTAACAAACCTGCAGATGTTTTATAATTTATGTACAGATAAATAACTATAAGAGTGAATATTACACATATTTTAAAGTTTCAAATGTTAGAAAACTTGTAGTTTATTTAGTTGCTTTACTCTACCAAGCAGCACTGGTGAGAAATGAATTTGGCAAAACTGGTCTGTTGCAGGAGGATAGTGAATCAAACAATAGATTAAGCTTATAGTAACACTAAAATTTATATTTTAGTAAAAAAAGAAATTAATAAAATGTGTATTTGTCAAATGTGAACTATATGGTGATTACATACGAACGGCTAAATAAAAAGTATTAGATGAAAAAACAGTCCCAACTTAATTAGCTGTAAAAAGACAAAAGTTGCATTTTTTATTGCTTCACCTAAAATACTATATCATTAATATGCATGCTCTATTGATGTGCATTTTGTAGAATATAGAACTCTATCACTGAGACATTCTATATTAGGTTTATCACTGCAAGTAAGGATTTAGATAATGTTAACTGCTAACCAAATTCACAGTTTTTAACAAGAAAGGAAATTGGGCTAAGAATAGGCCTACAAGAGGAAAAAAGATTTGTGTGTAATGTTTTAAATGAAAATGCGGTAGCTTATTTAAAATATTTTGCTGTAATTATTTTAGTGAAACAGCCAGTAACCAGGAAAGTTAATTTTATTATTATCATTATTTCAATGTTTCATATTATGGCTTTTGGCCACAGTAGTAGTCTTAAAAAACTAATTGCTGAAGGTAATTCAAAGCAAAATTAACAATGTGTTCTTAAATATCAACATACATGCAGACAGATTTCCAACAACATGTATGATAAACTCAAAGAAAACAGCAGAGTTCACAAATATAACGTGAATTTTCAAATACTATTTATTAGCTCTACAGTTAATAATATTAATAGGAGTGCTGTGAAGGAGTTTGGTTTGCCTATGTAGATAAAAGAAAAACCAAGATGGTCCCTTAAGCCATATTTAGTTCACTCAGCATTAAAACCTCCTGATGATTGCCAAAAAAAGTGTATTCCATACTCTGAGTGTTCAAAATAAATGCATGAAGAAAAATCTAATTAGCCATATTTCTTGCAATATTTGCAAAGAAAGATACATATATTGGGGAAAACAGAGAAACGTATTAGAGAACATTGTATGGGACATCTTTGAGCTACTATGATAGATGATTGGGATAAAAGTGCTGCACCAGCACATTTTATTAATGACATGGCTTATCTAAATCTGACCACCTTTCACAATTAATTTAAAAAATACGAGTCCCTCCTTATTAGACTTAGGCACAATCAATTAACAGAGACAAATCACAGCCACTTTAAACTGCTTTGTTGACAAATTACGATGGTAACCACATGAACTGTTGTTTGTGGCCTTTGATATATTATGTATAAGCATTGTTACGTGTATTATATATCAGTACACCTGTGTGCACATTGTTGGATATTTGTCTGCATGTATACTAATATTTAAGAACACACTGTTCATTTTGCTTTGAATTCACAACAGCGGTTCATTTTACTAAGATAACTATTGTGCTCAATATGGTCATCTCTGAAAAAGGTGAAATGTGAAAGAAATAATAACAGGGTTTGATATTATGGCACGTCCTACCAACCCAGCATAGTTAAAGTTGGGTCCAGTCATGCTGAATCTGTGTTAAGGTAGCCCAACTGGTGGTGTTAAATTTATTATTATATGAAATTGGTCTTCCTGCTACCAACTTCCTATTAATTATAATTTCTTTTATAATGCCATGAAAATTGTCTAAATTTTGTAAAATGAATGTTCCCTGCAGCATTTCTTGTTAACAATCTGATTCACATACATGTATTGTTTACATAGTCTCATTCAACCAGACACACAGGAAAGAGGATCTAGTAAAACAAGGCTACAGCTGCCAGCTATGAATGTTAATTAAGTAAATCACTTACAACTTCACAATTATTTTCAGAGATGTTATGTTACCTCTCTGCATCACTAATGAGTTATCACTTGTGCAATCTCCATATTAATTTCCTACGCTGATACAAGCCTAGAAAAAATATTCCACCCCTACAGGTTGTCTGCACCAGCATATGATGTAATATCATAATGCAGATATCTTCCACCCATAATAGGGCGACACAGCCTCTTCAGATCTACCTCTGTCCAACCACATCACTCTTTCCTAGGCAGACTTACCGGTTACACGTGGTTATTTCCTGTGCTTATTATACCTTATTAGTTTTCAATCTTTGTGTTTAGGCCTTACTAAAGATTAACTTTAAACTTCAACTTTGGGCATTTGTTCTTAGTTCCAACCAACTTAGAAATTTTTACTTTGCAATTTGTTATTTTTCAATTCAATATTAAATACTGAAAGAAATAGAAAGTTAATTAAGTTTGTTCTGAGCTCTTTTGAAGATTATGAAAAAAGTATTGCCTTATATGAATTTAAATGAAGATTGAAATTATTACAACTTTCTCAAACATTTTACAACTGTAAAGCTCATGACACACAGTGAAAGTAAGAATGTCTTTATTTAAATTTGTTTTTACTTCTTTGAAGGGTGAGATAACATAGGAGAAGAAAAAAAGACACCAAAAGGAAAAGATGAAACCAAAAAATTACAAAAAGAAGACTGTTCTATCCTAAATGGAAGAATGAATTTAAATGGATAGAGTACAACGAGAGTGAAGATGTGATGTATTGTGTTTCATGTAGAAAGTCTGAGAAGGAAGGTAGATCTGTCACGGGAACAAATAATTTTAGAATTAATTCTTTGAAACAACATGGTGCAAGTACATAATGTATATCAGCTCAAAGAAGGCATGACTTGGAATGCACGATAAAGCAATCAAGTATAGTGTTTTGTTCATATGCTGGAGAAGTGGAGATAGGAATGAGTGTAAGTGCATGTGCTAGTACCAGGGAACCAGCTTTCCAACCAACTGTAGTTATACCTCTGGATGTTGCTATCAGAAGGTTAAATGAAGGTCAGAAAGCACAACTGCTCACTTGTTTTAACACTGCTTACTTCATTGCTAAGAATAAACTGCCCTTTACTTTGTACCTAAGTTGACATTTGAAGCTCTCTCAATGCTTTTGCACTGTAATGATAGTGTTTGTCCAAATTCAGCAAAACAGTTTTAACATCACCACAGATCTTTACATCTTTATCCTTCATTGCATCTAATGCACCAAATTCCAATCTTTGATTTACACAACACATGGCAACAAGATGAGGTACTTCATTTTTTAAGAGTTTTACCACACTATTTTCCTGAACTTTACATTTGCTCCATATGAACCAGTGGCAATTAGTTTTCCTTCCAGTTCCAACCTGCATTGTACACACTGTCCATTGCAGACTATTGCTGCCAAGACACCTTTAGCACGAACATGCTCCAAGTTTTTTGGATGTGACATATCTGTTGTACCATCATACATGATAGATAACACCTGTGCATTCTTCAGTAAGCTGTGTTTCTTGTTAAATATACTCATATATGAAGTGCATAAAGCTTCTACAAAACTGATCAGTCAACTAGCTATTTGGCAACTCAACACCATTCTTAGCTTGTAAATCAAGAAGGCTGAAGCTATGGAGGTGAAGATGATAAAGACAGTAAATTTGGAAGGTACCACATGGATGCCACATCCGAGTCAATGTCCTGGTGTCTTCTTATGGAAGTATTTAGTGTTTATTGCTCCCTTTGAGAACAGTGTAGAGGATGTATGAGTGGGACAATGGATGTTCAAAGCAGAGCCAAGCTGATTCTTAAACACCTTAAAGACTATATCCATTACATGCACTTTCTAAAGGATGTATTATCTGTCTTGAGTAAACTTTCATTACAGTTTTAAAAAGATAACTGTGGTTTACCTGATGCTGTGGATGCCATTGAAACATCCTGCCTGCACCTTGTTGCTCTGCAGCAAAGACCAAGAGAGAACCTGCAGATAGTGTAGAGGTAGATAATGCAATCCAAGGTATGAAATTTTGTGCTACCACTATAACAGAGGAACAGCTCAAGACAAAACAAAATTCCCTCATTTGGTTGGTTATTGACCATGTAAATAAAGGGATTGATGACATAGATTCTGACCATCTAATGAAGGACATGCAAATATTCTATCCAGCTAATCTTCCAGAAAATGATGCTTACATTGCAGTATACATAGAAAATGAAGTAAATAACATGTGTGAATACTACTCCACAGTTTTAAATAGGATGGGATGTGACATTCAACATTTAAAACAGGCAAAATGGCCAGCTTTGAAAATTCATATGAAGAAGCAGCCAAGAAGCATTAGTGTTCAAGAATTCTGTCACAGGCTTTTCTTGAACCCCAACTTGAAAGAGACTTTTAAGAATATCATCATGTTAGTCGAGATCATTTTGTGTATACCAGTTTCAAATGCAATCTGTGAGAGAGGATTTTCTGCAATGGCTAGGATCAAGTCTGATTGGAGAGCTCGATTAAATGCAAACACGTAGAACTACCTCATGGAAGTTTCCATTGAATGGCGAGGTTCTATGGACTATAATGCAGAACGAGCTGTAGTATTATGGTGGCATGGTGGGCAATGTGCAAAGTGACCTGACCTTGTTGATCCAGATAAGATAGTGTAGTGTCGTGATTTATCATATAGAACATTTACCTCAAGTCATTATCCAGTTATAGGAGATTACTTGCATTGATTGATGTTAATTATAACAGTCATTCTATGTTTTTAGAGTAATAGCTATGAATAAAGCAATTACAACATAATATTCTAGTTTTTACTTTTAATTTATTTTCCTTCCAAATATGATTCAAAATATTCCATAATTCACAAATGTGTTAAAGTAGAGCAAAATCATAGATACCAAATAGTATGTGATACACTTGCAAATTTTCTTGATTTCCTTGACCTGGAATGATATCATAATTATCTCTTGTTACTTATATTTACTTTGTATTTGTTTTATTTTGCTGTTTTTATTCATTCTCTTTGTTTAGTAACAGACTTTTACATCTGTGTTCGAGTTTTCTATCAATGTACAATGTCCTATTATATGTGATTATTTTTCATTTTTAGTTTGATGAAGAAAAAAAAAAGATTATTTTCCTTCTGACATGTAAAGATATACACGTGTAGTGGCTTTCTGAAGGTTGCTAAGTGTTGAATATAATGTAATATGTCATAAAGATCAATAATTTTTTGTAATTTTTAGATTGTATTTTATTTATCATACTTATCTTTATGCCAGTATTGGTACAAATATTGAAATCATATGAGTTTTATTTCTCTTGAAGCTTACTGTCAACAAAGATGTACATTTAAATGGTTCTTTTCATTTGCACAAGACAACCTATTTCATCTTTGTAATTTGATAAATTTCAACAGTCTAACAGTAACAAGGAAACACAACTGTGATTGAAAGATGCATAATATAGTTGAATAACATTTCAATAGAAAACAATTGATATTTCCACAATAGGTACACTTACCTCCTAAAAACAAAGTATGTGTGTTGATTAATTCATTTTAAGGTCAGGCTACTAAAAATAAGGTCAAGGCTAGCAATTTTTTAAAGAATTGGTCCAATTGGCCTAGTGATATAAAAAGTTAATGTTGAACCCTGTAATAATAAAAAACTTCTCTGGTTACTGGTAGTTTTTCTTTTCACTGAATATGTTTTTCACTCCAGTGTGCAGAAGGCTAGCTTAATTTCATGAAAATTTTGTACATCTGAAGTTACTCTTGGAAGAAAAGAAAACTTGCTTCAAATGTCAGAAATAATTCAGCACTTACCATATACATAGGTCGTGTGAAAGGAGAATGTAAATCCACCCTCATAGTTTGATACATCCGCTTAAAGATTCCCATGTCTACAATTATAATAAAAATACTTTTAATTTAAAGTCTCACACACACATATATATATACATATCAATCAATATTACACATAACATCAATTTTTGTTTCAAATCCATGAATTATTTACTTTTTACTTTCTGTGTTAATGAGCATTAAAATAGCAATCTTGAATCAATCAAAATGCTCACATATTGTTTCTTATTAAAAAAACTACCTTCTAATAATATCACCCACAACCACTCACTCTAATTCTTAAAGATATTTTAACCTTAGACATGTTTAACAAAAATACTCTCAGATTCAAAACTGCTTTAATATTTAGAGATTGTAATGAGTGGCTCTGTATGTCCTATTACAAATACAGAAAAAGTGGTAAACTATTTATGGATGGTAAGTCATTTTCTATCATTAACACATATTTAAAGGTATACTTTTGAAGTAACCATGTATTTTACATTTCACTCTCTCATAGTGCTGTTCCTAGTGGCAGGACAAATGGGATTTTATGTTGTATCTACAAACATATTGAATATAACCTGAAGAGGTTATAATGTTATTGTAAAGATCATAAGTTAGGCCACATCTGAAATATTGTGTTCAGTCTTGGGCTTCTTACCTTAGACAGGACATTAAATTGTTGGAAAGTGTTAAGAAGAGGGCTACAAGGATGATACCCAGAATGGAAAGGCTGCCATATGAGGATAGGTTAAGATCTCTTAAATTATATTCTCTTGAAAAAAGAAAGGTGAGAGGTGATCTGATCAAGGTGTATAAAATTGTTAAAGAAACTGATGGTATTGATACATGATCTTTTTTTATACTTAATGGTGAGGATGGTAAGACTAGGGGACACAAACATAAATTTTGGCAGGGTAGGACTCAATTCCAGTTAAGACAATATTATTTTTCTAACAGGGTGGTTAGCATTTGGAATGGGTTACTTTCAGATGTGCTAGATGCAGTTAATTAAGAGTTAAAGAGAACGATTAGGACTGGCTTTGAGTGTTTTATTTATACTTCAATTTAGTATGTTGGACAGGACTAGCCTAGATGGATCAACAGGTCCCTTGTAGTACAAAGTTTAAAATTTTTCAAAAGTTATAATTTGGAACAGGTTAATTCCAGTAAAGATTATGTGCTAAATTCAGCCTGATGCATTACTTTCTGTAGCATGATCCAATTACAGAAGTTATCAACTATTTCATGAGATAACTGTATTGTACACTTTCAAATTTACCTTGTATGTAAAGGATTGTCTTATGATTGTCATATGGAGCAGATACTTCTAGATTCTTATGATCTAATTTGTGACTTGTAAGCTACAGAGAGAATGTGGATTGTGAAAATTTCTGGTGCTTTCGGGATATTAGCTTCTGTTTTGTAAAGGCCAAGATATGGTGTAAAGTGCTGTGTTTTTGTGTAGGTTCTTTATTGTATATACCAACAATGCTTTGTCATATTTTAACTTCAATTTACTTTAAGTAAGTGTTTCTAGTCATTTTGTGTTCTCCTCGTGAATATAGAACTTTGATCAAAAGGTCTTAATAATTGTTACCATAAAAAATTTTCAATTACAACTCAAGTGTGATATTCCTATTTTACAAATTTCATGACACACTTGTAAACTACAAAGCAAGAGGTTTGAAAAGTTAACTGGATGCAGTAGTAATGTAAGAACAAGTTCAGAAGAGAAGAAACAAACAACTTTGATGAACATGAATAATTATTTTATGCTCTACGTTTATATAACATGTTGAAAATATGAAATTAAAAGTAAAGTTTTATAAATGAATATACCAGAAAAATAAAATGTTATACTAATTATAGGCCATTAACGAATCACCAATTGAGTAATTCACTATTAACAATATTGTTGGATGTAATTCCAATAATACCACACAAGGCTCAACCAGCTTAGGAAATTTAGGTTATATGTAAGTTCACACACTAAGCAAACAATGCAAAATAATCTTCATAAGTGTAATGTTAATTCAACCATCATTTCAACATTATAACTAAAAAAGTTTAATGATGCTAACTATAAAGAAATATGGAATAGAATATTACTTTCAAAACAAATAAATATACCAGCTGTTTAATACATGGACCTATGCACTTTAGAAATACATAAAATGTGAATATAAGTATAAGCATTCACGTACTTGCAATAGTGCCTATCCAACATTAAAGATTTGAGGACGTTAAAAATTCACTTGAGTTCATAAACAAATGCATATTAACTTGCCTATCCAGAAAATTGTACCTAGTCTGATATAAATTTTTAATAGACATGCTGATCTCTATTGAGTAATACCACTGTGGTTTTATTTTTTGATAATATGCTTATTTGTATGGATGTAACATGATGTTTTCAGAAACAAACTCATAAAGAAATTCTTGTATATTTATTAATTTGAAATAATGGTTTACTCTAGAAATCCATCCTAACAAACACACACACTTACTCAAGAGTATAAAGGCTTGGAAATACAAACTAAGTTAAAATTACCATTGCTCATTGTGGATATGGTAACAAAAAAATTAGGCAATAACAATTCAGCACTAAATCAGATAGTTGAGTGCTCACCACTTAGGTACAACATCATTAACTTTAGCTTATACTTTAATTTATGTATAGAATATCCAGAAGATGTGAAACACTCAGCATGATTATTAACCCTTAAACTTTTATGGTGAACATCAGTCATAGCTGGAGTTAACTTTTTTTCCAATAATAAACCCTATGAGCTTCATCACAACTTTGTTTTTTATAACAGTGTCACTCCATACTGGTAAATAACAAAACATCTGGTAAAACATCAATATAGAAAAACTATGTAAACCCTTTCTTTCAACAGCAACCCAGTTATTAATACTATTTTCAATCAGACTTTATTATACATACTGAATTACCAACAGTATGCATTTGGAAAAGCTAAGATTATAAGTTTTATGTTAAACACAATATAAGCCCAACATGTCAATTTAGTTTGTCAAACATCAGAAAATGAAAAAATAGAAAAAAAGATATAAATTCTAGAACAACACAAAAAAATAATAAAAGGATAACTGGAATTCTTAGTACTTTAGCTTTTAGAAGGCAAAAACCACTCTTATAAAACAATTTCAATCACCCACCAAGTTCATCTTCATGAAAATCTGACATCTGAGTATCCATAATGTGATCTAGAAATGTAAACCACTCTCCATTCAGCCTAAGCTTTGCATCTTTAAAGTTTATGATGTTTCATTCCACTATAAATTATAGGGACCTTGAGCAGCAAGGGGAAACTGGCACAAATGTTGATAAGGTCCTCTTATAATGCTATTTCTAGGGCATTTAGAGTCCCTTCAAAAGATCAGGAGATTGGCACACTATGTAGACGTGGTGTGTTTAGGGCAATAAGTTAAGTCATAAAGTAAGTGAGAAATACTTATGAGAAATTTCTACTGGAATAAATATGTTCAGTCAGAACTGCATTTTAAGGAGAATGCAAGACCTATCTTGCTTGTCACAACCACTGGGAATGGCCTAGTTCTTAGTGTACTAAACTTACAGACACCCCTGCCCTAATGAAAAAGCAAAAGTAAAATGAGCAGCAACTGCCTAGTACAGAATGACACTTGTAGAGAAAAATCTTAGAGAACTAATCTACAAAAATAGCTCAGGTAAAAAGGACATTCTGAAATGTTTTTGAAATTTATCTTCAGGTTAACTTGAGCTGGTTTTTACAGGGTATATATATGGTATCTGGGAGGACATGTGATACCATTGGCTGGTGTTTCTTGTAATATAGCCGATGGAACGAGTGATGATTTGACCAATGGTAGCCATAAAGTGCTGATTTCTAGGCCTGGGTCTTTATTTAGGAATGGTTTCATCTTTTTGATATATAAAGATTTTTTTATACTTTTCTAGTTTCCAGAATTTATATGAGTTGATATGTGTATAATTGTCCCAGTCTATTTTATGTCCAGTCAACATGGCATGTTCTGCAAAGACCAATTCTATGTTTTCATCAGTCCTGTGCAGTGTTTATGTTATTTTAGTCTTGCCCTAAAGTGTTTTCCAGTTTCTCTGATTTAGGTATGTTTACAGGAACAAGGTATTTCATAAGTTATGTTTTTGTGTTTATTATCAGTTGTTCTTTGTTTAGATTTGGAAGAAAGCTAACCTGTTCTTATGGCAAATGATGGGAATGGTATCCAACAGAAAAACATCAAATGGTCTCCCATAAGTAACAAAAATGACACAGGGAACAGGTGGCCAAAGGTTCAAATGGAGGGCATGTAAGAGCTCTTAGAACTAAATAAATGTTCTAGTTCAAAAGCAAAGACAAATAAGGAGGATGATTTGTTAGAAAGGCTCACAAGAGTATTGTAAGAACTAGAGAAAGTAGCTAGAGAAGATATTGCTGACAAAACCACACTGTAATTGATGATCACAAAAAAAGGATAAACCACACTCAAAAGGTTATGTAAAAATGGAAGTGAGATGAGGAAGATTTGAACAACCTGGAGGAAGGAAGTAGTTAATGGACCAGCTTTGATAAATCATCCACCTGCAATAATAAATTGCAAGGGTGGACTGCCAACAAGAGCAACCAAGAATGTGAATGTGTGGTCCATCATGGTGAAAGACGGATGTCAGACTGATATAAAAAGGAACCTTCCAGACAGAATGGATAGAGGACCCAGAATCACCAAGAGGTGAAGGAGCAGAAATCAGCATTGAACATTCCAAAGAGGGAAAATGAGAAACGCCTGGCAAGAAGGGCTATGAATTAAATACAGCACCCAGGAAAGAAGTTGAAGAGAAGAATAGGCATACAGTAAGGAGGTGGACCAATCCAGACTCAGAGGAAATACTTCCAGGGCCATGCAGTCTCAAATTGGTGATTAATATGTGGAACCTTGGTGTATAGGGAGTCACAAATGCAATGATAAGAAGATTCTCAAAGTGGGAACCCAAAAACCAAGAATGGTGAGACATCCAGAACTGTGTCCAACTCAGCTGGAGAGGTATTTACAAAAAGGTGCAAGTCCAGGCAGGGTGGAGGAAGATTAGAGCTCAGGGTCATTGGAAATAATTGAGGTAAAGAGGCAAAGTTTGATTAAGAAAAGAAATCAAATTAATGTAAGAAAAGATAATAATTCATATCAGAAGCTTTATCTGAATCAATTTTAGAAATTTGTAACTTGGTATCTTTCTTCATTAGTGTTAAAAGAACAAAGGTAAGAATAAAAAAACTCCAAATGTCAACTGTTGAGAAATAATAAGCTCAAAAATTCTTCAATTCGTAATGAAAAAAGAACACAACTGAATAGTACAGTGCCAGTGCTTCAACAGGAATGAAATTTTGGCATACATGAAGTGCTCAAGAGGAGTACTGTACATGGAAAAAACTTTTCAGCAGTGGTGAGAAGTATTAGCCATCTATTTTGTGGAGAGGAGAGTAACATATCTGAAATAACATTACACCTAAACATTCTGAGCAGAACAAGATTAAGCAAATTAATGGTATTAGGCTGTAGTAATGAATTATGATCCCATAGGTAAAGCCTCAAACCCAAGCCCACAATTTCCCAAACATGACTATTAGTATTGATGAAAATTAATTGTCTTGAATTCTATAGCATTAGGGTTTAGGAATAATTATACAACTGAAAGACATGTTTTATTCTTTACTACACAATATATCAAATTAAGTTTGAACTCAGAATAGTTATAATGTAAAGGAACTGTTCAATAATTTACTGGGACTGAATAACTATGTAATTCTAAATTTTACATATTTATGTGCACAATTATATACAGCAGTTCACTCTTTTGTCAACAGTGATACTATATTTGACAAAATATTTAGATAGATTTTATCTAACAAATATCCATTTATTTTACATCATATCTGAAAGACAACATTTATATGTCCTGAACTCATTATACAGTGAACATTGGAAAGATCAAAATTTGTAAAATCATTTGGTTCAGTGAAAACCTTTGAATGATTTTAAGATACTTTAGTATGATGATCAGAGAAGAAGGTATCAAACAAAATATGAAATTAGTTCAAATGTAACTTATTATTTTCAAACACCTGCTTATTTTAAAGCATTTTAATAAAAGGCAGTAATGTGTGTTTTTCATTCACAGGAAACAGATTAATCTAAACTTGTTTTATAAAAAGATAGCCATTTTTTTTTTCAGAGATGAATATTCAAAACTACAACAAGCACAAAAACTAAATTCTGAATACTCAAATCTAGATAATATAATTTATTCCTAGTTAATATTCTGAATAATAGTGGGATATCTACATGATTTTTGGACCTCTCTCTGATCCTATATATTACATAAAGTGAAACATTCTACAAACTTACTAAGTTTCCACCGTCCCATGTAGTATATCTGGGCACTTAGGGCAAGGCCTAGTAAAACATGCATTGGCACAAACACTATCCAGAAAACAGTAGACCTTTTCAACTGTAAATAATAGAAATACCTAGTGTTAGCCATACTAACTTGTTTAATACTTACAAAAAAGGAAATGAAACATCATGTCAGATAAAATAACATTGCATCAACAAGCAAATAAATACCATTGATCCTGATTTCAGTTAAACAATGTTTTGCAAATTAATTTTAAATTCACTTTTGTTTAAAACTAATATTTTCATATGTATCACAAGATGGGGTTGTGCAAGAATTATCTCTTTAAAATGAAAACATTTAAGATTGTTCAATGAGAAGTTGAAAATTAAGAGCTCTTACAGTATTGAGAAAACAAAATAAGAGCCTACTAGTTATGTAACTATTTTATTAAATTATCTCGCCACCACATTCTCTATCTCCAAGAGTTGCACTTACACTCTAAAAATTAAACATAACAAATGTATAATGTTCTGAAAAGTACGTACATCAGTGTATGATATTCATTATAGTACATTTTTAACTGAGAAATATTTTAGAGTTGATATTTTGAAACGTTTATTTAGTGCAATTCACAAAGAAAAATGAAGAAAATGTTCCAACTTTAATTTCTGCATGCCTCTGAGGAGTCTCAAATGCATATAATGCACTCATATTAGATTTATTTTAAATCATCCTGTCAATATGAAGAATGGGTTTATAGCTGCTAAGAATCTGCCATCCCTTGAGAATATAATTATCCATGTCTTGTATCTCATGTTATCTTCCTTCTCTATCAGTGGTTTTATTACAAGTTTAACCATACCATTTAATAATTTCACATCATGTGGTCTGAACAATTATTAATCCAGTAAAGCTTAGAAAATAGCTATAAGCAAAAATGAAATATGCTTGGATAGAAGATATTACAAATTTTTACAAGATGGAGTAACTAAAGAGGTGTGATCAGTAATTTATTGTTTTATGACTAGATGGAGCTCATTAGAAATAAGCAAAGAAAGCTAACAAGAAGTTTAAAAGACTTAGAAAGAAATCATAATTCTGAAAATTAGTTTATAGTTTTATAACATGTTCTTGCTATTCCTAAAAATATTTTCATGTTAAATTATATCTATATGAAAGCTACAGAAAATATCTATGACAAGACACGAGTTAAGTGTGGTTAGACTTGGGAGTACTGAACATATGCAATTAATAACAGTATAATAAAAACTTTGCATACTTTAAATACACAGATTGTCCACAACTGTGTACATCTTTTTTATGAATAAGTGTGACACCTTTTCTCATAAATAAACAAGACCAGTTTCTGAACCAAACACTATAAAAGATATGAGAGATTTAGCTGTGTATCAAATATTTTATAGTATCCTATGAAAGATGTCATATGCTGGTCTATATTCTCACAAACTACATGCACCAATGGCTAATTCTCACTAGTATCAAGAGTGAAGTGGTAGACTTTTAACAGTAGTAATATTTTTGTGGTTTTTATACTAAGAATTATGTGCTCATAATCAAAGGTGCTGTGATGTAAAAAAATATATTTTGTGTGATATGCTTCTGACTGAATAAAATAAATAGAGAACAAATATGAAAAAATGGAAAACAAGTGGCAGAATATGGAAACCTTTCCTTAACGAAGATGACATGGTTGGAAGAATAAAATTGGACTAAACATTATTTATTAGCTATACTAGGCTGTCAAGATGGTATTAAGTTAACTATAAAATTACTTGTTAATACCATCACTGTAAAGACAGCACTTACAGAATGTGCTGCAGCTTAAAATTTCAATTTATATTTTACTTTAGTATTGAATATGGTCAGCTGGGTTCAAATTCATTTGAAATTCATGGTTATTTACAGAAGGTTTAGGTCCTAAGAATTTAAATATTAGAGGTTCATAGAGATTTACATGTGTTATACGTGATGCTTGTAATTGTGTTAAGAAATATTGGGATTGAAAAGGGCTAATTTATGCAATAGGAATTTCAAAGGTGAACAATGTACAAGGTAATTGTATTTCTACTGTTTTAATGTACTCAATATGAGAAAGAAAGGTGTTTATGAATTAATGTATGATGTCAAGGATCAAAGAATTGAAAGTTAAAGTAAAAATAAGGTAAAGAAATCTGGGAAAGAAAGTAAGTTTAGTTTCAAATAGACCAAGAGAAGTACTCTGAAGAAAGGATTGTATATGTATATATATATATATATATATATATATGTTAAATATTTCTTTCTTTTTCATCAGAGGTGAAATTGAAAAGAGAATCTATGATGTAGAAGCCTAATGCATTCCTTGACTGTCCATACTCTCTGCTGCAGACTGCAATTTCACCTATTCAAGGCTCTTCAGCACAACTTGGGTCAGCAAACCAAAGGAATACCATTAGGCCTCTTTGAATTCGAAGAAATGTCATAACTTTATTAACATATCTAAATTAATTTAAGTTACCACGTGAAGAGGTAATATGAACTCTAAGCCCCAAAGAAAGGATTGATTGTGTTTTTAGATACCCAATCTTGTCAAAGTTACTTTACACTTAATATAAGAAAAGTATTAAAGACTTGTGAAATAACTGATGTACTGGGTAATATTTTCTTTAATTATATGTATTTTGGTTTTAACTTTGAAATTGAATGCAAATACTTTGAAACAATATGGACAAAAAATTGTTGGTGCTGTCCACAAACATGCACAATGTTGTTGTAAACAGAAGATATCATTGTACTGATTCAGTTGCACTGCCAAATAACATGGTTTACTATCATTAGTGTTATGTTCTGACACACTGTAATTAATGGTCCCAGTTTTTGGACCATTTATGGCAAAACTGAGTATCTGAGGTCTCGAATTCAAATTTAATAAGTTTCAGGAAAAAACTGCAATTATAACTTATTTAAGTGGCAAAATATGAAAACCAATAAGCAAAAATGTAACCAATAACAGATTATGCAAGAAACTTAGGACTAAATAAGACTTAATTATGTCTGAAAATGTTCCTCTTAAAAATTTCAATTTGAAATAAACAAAGTTCTGTTATCCTAATCAATTTTTGAATGAAAAGGATGATGCAAAATATTACAAACATCAAGTGACTACACCATAGATATACAATGTAGCTAAATGAATTCCTTTACAAAGAATATTACAGCAGCAACTTGTTACATTATGAAAATAAAGATGCAATCCCTATCTTACTGTATAATCAAGTTTAAAAACCATCAATGAAATTCATCTGCTTAACTTTGGATTAGTGGTTTGTTTGGTATTTCTCAATAAAAGCATTGTAAAATTGATTAATTTATTCTTAAATGTTTTAACCTTTCCTTGTATATGTCATTGCTTGGGCCACATTTAGAGTTTTGTGTTCAATCTTGGACTCCTTACCTCAGATAGAACATTGGATTGTTGAAAATTGTTTAGAGGAGGGTTACTAGGATACCTGGGATGGAAAGGTTGTCATACAAGAATAGGTTAAAATCCCTGAACTTGTTTCCTATTCAAAAATAAGTGTCAGAAGGAATCTAACTGAGGAGTTTAAGACTGTTAAGAGAAATGTTAAGTGTTGATACATCAACTTTTTTTGTACTTAATGGTAAGAATGGTATGACTATGGGACACAAAACTCTTGACAGGAAAGAAGTCATTTTCAACTAAGATAGTTTTGTTTTTCTAACATTGTGGTTGACTTTTGGAATGAGTTTGCCTTTATATATAGTGTATGCAATAAATTTAAGGAAAGGCTTGATAAATATTTAAATGATAAAGTTTGGCTTTGAGTCTTTTTTAAGTTTAATTTAGCCTAAATGGACCAAAAAGTCCCTTTTCGTCCTTAAATTTTATGTTCATATAGCTATGAATCTTTCTTACCTTACTTTGAATGAATGTACCAATTATACATGGCTGTGATTAACCTTTTTCCAAAGAAATAAAGTCCCACCCCTAACTTTTTTTCACTTTTGATACAAAACTAAAATAAAGAGATTAATAATGTTTTATTTATCTTTTTATGTAATAAAAATGGTTTTGATTTGAAAAACTAGAAAACTTTTAAACTTTTTATAAAGACTGAGTCTTTAATAAGGATGTCAGATTTTTATAAATTTTCTATTTTTGAATGACATTGTCTATGACAAAAAATAAGAATTTTCAATATTTGTTTTATAGTACTTGTAAGTTTTGAGTTTGAGTAATTTTTAATTCATTTTGTATAACTGAGTATAAATGTAAACATTTGTACTCTGTGGCTGTCAATGATGTGGTAGGTACATTTCCCTGAATTAACAATATTAGTATACAAAAACTGGTTAATCAAACTGCAGAGAAGTGTGAAATGTTGATGCCTAACAATAATTACTTGACCAACTAAAAGCATGGAATAAGAGGTTATATTAAATACATATATATCTATAACAAGGTGAGAATAAATAGCACTGAAATATTTAGAAAACTAAAAAAGCATCACTGAAGAAATATTAATAATACTCAAAATAAACCAAATATCAGTCATTTAATACCATGGGCATCACTATTACATTAGGCAACAAAGTTTAACACAATAATTTTTATAAATGTTGAGAATAATTGATGCACCCTGAATGCAGTTGATGTGATTATAGTGGAAAGATTGAGAAAAAAAAACTTGTTCTACTGTATAAAATTTTGTAGAATTAATCTCACCGTTAGTTAAGAAAAATACACTTGGTCATTGATTTCAGTTCTGCCATGATCTTTGATTAGGCTTTTACTAGGGGATTCTTTAATGTTGTAATACAAATTGATTTCTTGATGTCCCTTGTGTTGGTAGTCACTATCTTATTCACATATTTTTATAATTTCTCGTATCATATGATAAACAATGGAATGTGCATATTCAAACATAGTAATGTCTCAGTTTCAAATAATCTTGTAGCATTTTAATGTTCTTCTGTTCTGATGTATCCCAGTTCAATGAATATAGTACGCTGTATACAAGTTTTTCTTTAAGGTATCATGGAATAAAAATGTTCTCTACACCTTTTACCTTAATGCTCAGAAATAGGGT